CCCGTGAGACACCGTGCCAACAGCTGGTGGAAAAATCGAAAACGCAGCTGCCGTCTTCTCGAGCGGCATAAATTCCAGCCTTTATACATACCCTCGTCGACACTGGCCAACGTCTTCCATCCGCCTTGATCATCAGCCTCGGAGTTTTCGGTCGAGAATATAATCGTGGGAGGCTTTGGTTCCTACGTTGCAACTTTGCTCGCCCGGAACTGGTTGGCTTGCTCGCTCCGGCATCAGCCGCTCGTCGTGGTTCGACCAGGTTGCTAAAAAAATGCATCGAGTTGAGAGTTATGAAATGGAGAATGAATCTCTTGCAGTCTTGCGGTTTTTAGTACAGGTGGTTTGGCTTGAGTTTTCGGTCTTTGATGTCTTTTTATTCTTCTTCTTCTTTTTCTTCTTCTTGAATCTTTTTTCATTTATTGGATATTATGGTTATGTGTGGCAAAGTTCCGCCGAGTTGAGAATTTTGAAACGGAGAATAATTCCTAGAAAATTGTGAGTTTAGGTTCTCGAATAGACAGGCCTCTCAAGAGTACCTAACATAGCGTCATTGGATACAAAATTAGAAAAGACATATGGAAGCTTCGAAATGGACGATTCAAAGAAATGGAAAATGAAAATCCTTACGACAACAGTCTCCTATTTCCAAATATAAGAAAAATGTGCTTGTAAGTTATCGGCCATAACACTTTTAACGCTTGATATGATATCGAGGTAACCTTCAAACTTCCAACCGTTTTCGAAATGGACGAAGATTCACTTTATGCTGTTACACGTGTCGCGAAAAGAACAGGTGTTTTGACAGTAAACTAGACGACTTCGATGTACATACACCTACGTTTATAGGTATTACAACGCTTATAGGAAACGCGACGAAGTTTAGAAATTATTAGAAAATTACTGTATCCTACATACAGTGTACATATATACACCCACGTTCGTAGATGTTGCGTGAAAATACCTAAACCTCTGTAATTCGATGATCAAATGGTAAAATTTGTCGTAGAAAAAATATCACCTAGAATTTGTGCGTATTCTAAACTTGAAAAGTAAATTTAAAAAACTGTCTACGCCTCCGATTCGATAATTAAACGCAGAAATAAAATTTTCCAAAGTACCTAAATTTCTTTATCTCGTCTTTTATACCTTTCATAAAAAAAAGAAAAATATTAAAACCTAAAATTTGTGTTAGGAAGATATGAAACGACGTTTACGTGTATCCTACAAACCTAAATTTTTAAGAATACTTAAATCTTCGGACCGTCGATTAAAAGGTAAAATCCATTAGAATTCCATGGAATCGTGATGGTCCGGGTATCGTGACCCCGTTCACGCCAGCTTTTGATCACGTCGCCGCGCCGTCCGGAACGGTGTACGCGTTTCTCGCCGCGATTCCTTCGTCCTCGTCTCAGACGGTTTTTGCGTCGGCCGCGTCTCGATAGAGTCGCTACTACGAGAGAGGAGTTTAAAGGTAAACGGGTTTCTCGCAGACGCGCACATCGCCACATCACCAGGAGCTCTGGCCTCTCTCGATCAGATCCACCAGCACTAACGTACGTGTACGAGGTTTCAGCGACCAGACACTAACGTTGGAAATTTTGAACTGTGATTGCCAATTTTAAGGGAACCAACCGCGGTTCAACTGCAATTTAATGCATATATCAAAGATCGGAATGTTTAAAAACGTAAACTGTAATTTAAAAAATTCGTATGGCAATTTTAAAGAGTTTAACGATTTTAATAAATCAAATATCGGCAGATTTTTAAGTTACAATCTGCGATATATGAAGGGGAATTACTCTTCGAAGCAAGGCCGAATTAGGATCTCTATAAAAAATTTGTTGAAATTGAATCAACATCCGAGTACTGGAACGTCGAAGGTTACATCCTTTGTTCGAACCATAAGCGCCGTCCCTCCTCGTCTGACGAAAATGGACCTCTGCCATCGCCGGGTACAAAGCCACCGAGACGTTCTTATTATTGCGTCAAAGAGACGTATTAGACGTTAAGTAGCGTTTAATAGCACCTGTTACGTTACTTCGCCCATTGCCTTACCTCTGTTAATGATATACAACACCCAAGACATAGTAAATATCCAGCATATGGTACATTTACAGTAACTGCTCACCGGTGCACGTGCACCGTTATCCCTTTAAAGGAAGGAATAAATGCCAGTGTAGTAGATAAAAAGAAAGATATCTGCCGCAATAAATAATAAATAATTACTTAATAGCGATAAAACGACATTTTTGTGTAATTTTATGTAAAACATGAAATAAATATTTTAATTTTGGAACGAATGATCGATACAGGATGATTCAAAATATGAAAATGTTTTTTTAATTATTTCGTGGAGTAGATGCTTTTTTTCTTGTAAAATAATATACGATTATCTTATGATCTTATAACTGTAGTTATTAAATATTGGTTTAGTAAGGGATATATAAATTGCAAAATTTTCCTTTTTTACTACTTTATCTTCTGAAAGATTCTTCGTTACTCCATAAGGAAAATTTTGAATTTGCTGTTATTAAAGCGGAGAGTTACTTTGTTTTCCTCTTGGATTAACTATTTCATGAATTTCGGTTGTTAATAAGAATTAAAAGATCAGACAAAAATTAAACGTATTTGTTCGCTATCTTGTATTAGATACTCTTATCTCCCCGCGTGACATATGGCACGTTCACCTGGCGCCCTTGTGCAACCCATCTACTCTCTCGATACCAAGATCGACGGTTGTTACTAAAAATTCTGCCCGACCAACAGATAATTCCATTATTCATTTTTATTTACAGTTTAATGCATCGTCTACCTTCCTCGGTTAAATATTTATTTTGAGTTGTAGTATATCTTTAAATACCCCATTGCAAGGTCCATTCTACTATGCTGTCGAAAAAATACAAGGAAATTTATTTATAGATCTTTCGAAATTTACATTTAAAAAATTACTTCACGTGTAACATAAATTTTTATTTCAGAAATATTTTTAAAATATATTAAGTTCGACAAACATCAGTCTAAACAGAATTACGTTTCACAAAATTTTCAAATAATATACTCCAACTTTAAATTATTAAAAAAAAGAAAGAAATTACCATCTTTGAGGTATTCGTTTGAACTCTTAAGAAATATGGTCCTTCTTCGACGACATGATAAAAATTTCTTTAAACACTATCTATCCAATTATATACTCCGTATAAAACGAACCGTTCTATTAAATTTTCTTCTCTCGATATAAAAACATTGAAAACGCGCGAGCGAGAATTACATGCACTTCAACCGCCATATTGTATAGCGTAAACTTTACCATCACCTAACCAGCCAGTGTTGACATAAATTCCATGCCAAGAACATCAATTCCACCATCGTATAACCAAGTAATCGTTAGCTATCGCGACATTTCCCGTCCACTCGTATAACAGAAGTTCCATGAGCGCTAACGCAAGGAGAACATGTGCCATCAGGCCCAGGAAAGCGAAGAGACTCCATGTCCACTGTGATGCACGTCCAATAAAACTATCCTCTTCAGTCCCAATGTCTTGATAATACTTAATTTCATACTTAACATCGTTCCAACAAATCTCCTATATCTCGACTTCAATGAGAATCTTAAATCCCATAAATGAGAATTTTCGATACAGAAAACCACGGTATCGAAACTTTATTTCGAAAGACAAGAAGCAAAACCCGTGTATTTGACTACGATGAGAATTTTCAGTAAAAAAGCGTATTTCTATGTTATGTTGGACTTGCATAAAAATCTCATCTACCATCGGCGAGAATCTTTTTATAGAACGTAGAACTCCAGAAGAAGGAATGGTATCCTTGCCCAGGTCGAAAATTTGCTACAATCGGAGGCTTATTTCCAGTCGTCCAGGATACGCATATATTTTTATTTTGCTTGGGTTGTGCGGGGCCATGGCCTGCACAAAAGCAAAGAGAGAGGTTGGCCCAAAGCAACGGGGCCTGGATATTCCGGTTCATTTAATCGTTTCTTCGGACTTCGTGGTCAGGACCCTGGGTCTCTCATTCCTCTCTGGGTTTCTTCACGAGGAGACGAGAAATCGAAAGAAAAAAATGACGACGATGTGCCGTGGGTACACAAAGGAACCAGAAAATGGTACCTCTAGACAGCGTCATAGGACGCTGCCACCCAAATTGCCTCTCGATCCCATGAAATATCTTCTTTCGACGAAAAGAAACGCGTTTTTTTCGAGTTTTTCGAACTTCGATGATTCTTGTAACGATATATGCAACGATTAACACGTCGAAAATATTATGAGATAAAAGCCATTAGTGGGTAATGTTGTATTTATTTAAAAGAACTCGTTGTTCTCTCTTTTTTTTTTTAAATCGTGTAGCATGCTTGAATCTTTTGAACGGGAATGAACATGCTACAATTTCACCCAATACTTGATATATTATGTATATTTTTCCATATTATGTGCATTCTTCCATCTTCAAATTTCTCATAAATGGACAAAAATTGCCAATCTAAGCATAAACTATTTTCTTTTTAAATTCTAATATATTGTTCGTATGTCGTTGAAACGGTATATTGTTACTTTAGATTTTACATCCGAAGAGCCACAATTATGTCAATATTTTATTATGCAGATAAAGCTATGTATAATATATAGTTATTCATACATTTCCCAATAATATTGCGTAACTTTTAAAAATTATTTTACAGTTTATTCCTTAATGGATTGATCGGTACCATTGCTATCATAGAATCATGTATCTATCACCAGAAATCCACGTCTGTTAACTATTGTGCATCCTCTGTGCTCTTTGCATGAAATGCTTCTCCTTCTTCTTTTACGCTATTCTGCTTCCAGTATTTACTTATCAAATGAATTTAATCTCCTTTTTTAAAATTTCCACTGCTTCATGGACAACTAAAAAATAGCTAATTAATGATTCTTAATTATTGTAGTATGTAGGTAGCTTTGTATGCTTGATGAATTTGTCATCGTCTGTTTCGTATGCTCCTGTAGCTTTTCACGCTTGAACGTCAGAACGTGGCTCGCGTGTCGACGGCCCATCGAAGAGGAGCGATTTCGACGAACACATTTTTTCCTTCAGAACGTATGCTCAGGCTGATTGAATTGATGAACGACAGGAGAACGAGAGAAGAGGACGTCGTGGTCTCGAAGGAGGCAATGACTTGGTCGTTGATCGTCAACGTTTAACGCATCTGGACCTGTCGTAACTTTAACGAACTCCGAATCTACAGGATGTTTCAAAATTTAACGCTACATTGATATATTAACCCCTCCAAAACTGAATTTTGTCCACTTTTCGTTTATGTATAAAATTATTTTTTTATTAGTTACTAGTAACAAAGACGTATTTTCTAATTTGGCATGATTTTGTAAAGAAGACATTAATGCACTAAAATTTGAGTCTAGTTTTACTGAGAACAAAGTACATTTATCGTTTAGTTAATTAATGATTATACTCAACGATCTTTTTTTCTCGCGAAGTAGCAAAATTAATAAAAATATGGAATAATCTTAAAGTAATCTTATGGCAAGTGAAAAAAGGAACCAAGATTTTGAAACACCCTGTATAAAATCAAGCTAGTAGTATAACGTCGCTCGTGCATCGCTAGACCAAACAGAGGTTAACAAATGATAATTTAAATTTCAATGATTATCAATTTTCATCTTCGCATCGAATCCCGCAATTCTTTTTTTTCTTTCTCTGCCCCTTTTTCCCCTCTTATCTCTTTTCTTGGATTTCGACGACGACGTCAACATGTGCATAAACGAGCAATAAAATCGACGAACGGTGATTTCATAAATATTCCTACGGAATTATTAAGCGTGATTTGCATACGTTGCAAACGCAAACCGCGATTCGCTCCTTTTCATGACGGGATACGCGAGCACGATGACGAGAGCGTGAACGTTTGCTAACGACGAGCGAGAGAAACAAACATCAATGGCAGTATTATTCTTTCACAAAAAAAAAGAAAAAAATTAAACAAGTAAACGAGTAAAATGAAAGTTTAAAAAAATAAGAGAGAAATTAAGATCAACGAGATCGTGGTTTTTGTAAAGAAAGAAATTGAACACACAAAACAGTAACAAAGATTAAACTAAGCATAAGAAAGACATAAAATTATTTTTAGCTTTGTTACATAGATATTAAATGACGCAATCTGGACCAGAATCGAAAGTTAACAGTTCAGAACCTTAACTGAAATAATTAAAGTTTGAAAGCGTCTTTTAAACCTGTACTGCTGTGTTATATCGAATTGCTTGAATTCATTGGAACGTAATTAATATTATCTTCCTTGAATCATTGAACCCCTGAAATTCGATTCTGGACCAGTAGGTGGCGGGGAGATTTTTTTTCTCAACCGGAAACGTATCCGAACTCGTCGCCACTCAGAGCTCTAGTTGCCCGGAAAAAGCATGCGAATGTTCACTCAAACTTTGCCAACAAATACGAGCACGTAGTTTAACAAAGATGATGTTTCGAAATAGAAATCGCCGTGTTTCTATCGTTAATTATAATTGAACTATTTCAGTCGCGAACTCCGCGAGATTCGCCAGATGTAGCTTCAGTAAAACAATTAATAATTCCTCTAGTATATATATATATATTATATATCTATACATTTTCTTTATTCTTATATACAATTATCACAGTGTATTACTGCATGGTATGTTTGTTTCTAAGACACATTCTCTGTTCTTATTATCGGCTGTTACTACTTTGTACGTGACCAAAAATCATTCCGCGATATCATACATATTTAGATCACGTCGCCGCTTGTTCGTCTTCACACTACCTATCGAAAATGACATATTTTTTTTCTTTCTTTCATAATCTTACATCTCATTTATATTTACGTTATGCTTACAACATTAAGGAGATAGAAAAAATTCGCAATTGCATTTCTCTTCAAAAACAAGTACGCGACGCGACAAAAGTACGGGGCTCCTGAGATCAGCGGCGTCGTCTCTGGCGTTTCGAGCAACACTCGAACATGGCGGCGAGCTCGGATGTTCTCTCGACATTTCGAAAGAACGGCGCGCGAGGTGGAAATCGCCTCTCGATCATCTAGCCTCTTCTCGCCGTGTAACGTTCGAATATCTCGCCAGGTTCTCTCTCGATAGCCGGAGTCGGAGGAGTTAACGTGCGGCGTGCACGTTTCGAACTGAAGGGGGCCAGAAACGTGTACGAGGTCGGGCAAAATCACGAGGCGAGGTTAACCTCCTCCGCCTTGCCGTGTCGTGTCCTCCCGTTTCAACCACGAAAACGAAACCAGCAGGGAGAAAAAAAAGAGGTGGAGCGATACCGTGTGGCTCTCGTTGTGAAAGAGAGAAAACGAAAAGAAAAAGAAAAAAGGAAAAGTAAGAGTGACGGAAAAGGAAGAAAGAGAACGAAAGGGTAGAATAATAGGATCGAAACGAGACAGAGCAAAGGGGGAGGGAATGAACGGCCCTGGGAGTCATCAGCATCGCGGCTTGGGCATGCAGGGACGTTATAGGGCCGTAGTAACTGCTGGCACCCCGGCAGGGCCCCACTCTCGACCCCCAGCGCCCCCTCACGCCCGCGGTGGATGGCACCCTCATAATCAGCACCCTCAACACGCCCAGATACCTCAGCAATACACCGGCAACAAGGAATACCCGTATCGACAATGTCCACCACCACGCTTCCATAACGGGTATATCATTGCAATAACGAACCTGGTGCACCTTCTGTGCATATTCTCTTATATCACAAATTTTGCAATATCATTCTTTTTTTTCTTTACATGTTACGTTTCTACATAAACTTCATATTTTGCAAACATTCTTCTGCTTTTTCTTTAGGTTTTTGTGAAAGATATTTTTCTTTAGATTTTCGTACACGTAATTGTTATTTTATTCTGTACCATGTTCGTGCGACTATCTACTACATATAAGGCATTTCATAATGTTAGAAAACTAAACAAAAGTTCGATATTCTAAAGTTATTTTATACTTTACTCTGTACAGACAGTTTAAAATTTCGCGGGGTTGATGACTCCACAGTCGACTCTACAGCCAAGTTAAAAATTCTCGAGAAGATGCGATAGAGTCTTTTCAGAGTTAGCATTGTATGATGCTGCGCAACCCATTCGTATACGAAACTACACTTTACGAAGTAATCGAAAGTGTTACGATTTGTTATCGCTAGACTTTTTTTATTTGCCTATATGGTTACATAACTGTTCGTAACGTCGAGAATTACGTATACATCGGTGTAATTCTTGAGAAGGTCACTTTGTTACGCTATCGATCGATCGAGAATCGAACATTCGTCGATAGGTTTTCGCATTTACCAACATGAATGATCGATATGGAAGGGAGTGATTGTCGCGAAAGTTTTCTGTTCGAGTTACGCGTTACGCCTAGTAAGTGTGTATTTAATTTTCAGAGTAACCGACATTGAAGAGTCGACCATTCTAATCGACGATAATAAACGCGCATAACGTTGTCCTCGAGTTGCGACGCTACAGATGCAATCGTGGTGCTTTTTCGTTTTCACATGCACGGTTTAGTGTCCGTCAGTCCGTTGAAACTTTCGTTTTTCTTTTCCTCTCGATTTCATCGAATTTCGGGACTTGTCTTTCGAGTTTGTTACTGTGATTAACATTCCGCGAGTTGGAAACACGGTATTTCTAGTCTATGAACCACGCGACACATAAACACACGTGTGCATGCGAAAAATACAGATGTTAGCTTGTTCCATTGAGATGATTTTGTGATACTGCTCCTGTACATACACACATGTTGTACGTATGTAATATAGAAGGAAGAATACATATCGACTTGCTAAAAGAGTGACACTAATAAATAGTAGAAGTAAACTTTAAAATTTAAAATAGAAAATTATTAATTACATATTATAATACTCAATAATGAGAATATTTGCTTTCTTTTACAAATTGGCACATTGATCTTTACGTAATTATGATACTCGTACTCTAATAAAGAGCTAAATAATTGCTCAGTTAATTTTATAAATATCTCGAAATTGACAGTCTTTTTATGTGTTATTCTTGTAGTAAATCGACGATATGTAAACATGACATATGTTCACACAACTAAATATATGGCACGATTAAATACACTCGTAAGAATATATCGCGCGGCTAATTATTTTTGTTCAATATGATATCTTTCCTGCAAAATTTATATTTCGCGAGTTTGTGATGAAACTGTTCATAGCTGCATGAGACACCATACAGCACGCGACCTTGAGGGTATTATGTACATACAGATCAATAACAATCTTTAGCATTCGTTAACAGAATATGTAACTATGATCTTTTTCTGTGCCATAACGAATGCTTGTTCTTGTTTGAATGATTATTTTCTTCTTCATTCTCCTCGTCTCTATTTTCTCTGTACTCTACATATCATGTTTAAATCTTCTCTTCACTGGTTATCTTGTTTAGCATGCCACCGAATGTCAACTATTTTTTAAATAATTATAAGTATTGTCAACTTGTTTGAAAAGTGACACGATTATTTTAATATATTACTTTTCCAGCAAATTGACGATATACAGTTCATTTCTTCGTATTGCGTGTACTTGGTTGTCACGTGTTTTTTTTTTTTTTTTTTGTTTGTTACTATCTCGCCTAGAAGCTTCCGTAAAAGTAAGACTACGTTTTACAATGGATTCGTCCCATATCGCTATTTTATGGATATCGTACACGATTCATGTAAACACGCCATAATAAGGAATTTATTCAGCTACGCGTTACTAACAATAATATTATTCTCGTTTCGTATCTAGTCAAACGAACACTGTTTTATTTTAAATCTGTAAACGTATTAGCATTACAGATACCGTTGACTAAAATATAAACCTTGTATATGTCGAAAGATCAAAATGGCAGTTACATAAAGAATATATTTTAAAATCAAATATTGCTTCTTATAATTTATAAAAACTCATTGAAATCTGTAAAAATGCAAATCCAATTCTTTGCAAATCTACGAGAAAAATTTATGAAATTTCTATAAAGAATTGTAATTTGTTATTTTGATGACTCTGATAGTTCTAGTATTAAGATTGATGCAGCAGGTGCGTTGTCGTCACCATAGTAATATTCTATATTCTACAATAGAAGAAAATCATGTTTATTATTACATCAAATTGTGTCATATATTAAGGAATCGTCCGATCAGTAGCACTCGTATTAATTGTTCGATAGATCGATACACGTGAATGATCAAGAGTTGACGTAAATCGTGTTCAAGGAGGAAAAATGAACTCCAAGTTATGCGTATATCGACGTTACGGTGAAAGTACTTGTAATTCAGTGTAATGTAATTCAATGATTCTAAACGATCTATAAGAATTTCTGTGGAACTACTGGAATTGTTAACTACTATAAGTTCTGAATAATCCTCATTATCTGTATTAACTCTGCTACGATCTTTAAATTTTTCTATTTCAATTTTCAAATTGAATCTAATAAATCTAAGAAAAGATCTAGATCTAATAAATTGTAATTCCGATCTATTACGAATTAATTGTTATTTATTATTTATTTTGAATCTGATATAGAATTTTACACAGATATAGTCTCTGAAACTTTCCAAAAAATATTGTTTCCAAAAGTTCTGCAGAATCTTATGCACCAGTGTCTTATGCAATGTGATGCCAAACACCTCGATTTCATGGTAACGTCGACACTCGTCGTCCTTTCTAATATGATCGCTAACAATTTTCTATGTATTTAGGGATTGTCCTGGCGTCGGTACGTCTTCCGGGCCAAACGGCAAGGAAGTTTCGTATCACGGGAACGTAGGCGGGTCTAGCGTGGGGTACAAACCGCCCCCGCAGCACAGTCCGCAATCAAGAGGTCCACCGGCTCACTTTCCACAAGAGTCCGTGGGCCCACCGGCCAATTCTCCACCGTTGCACATTAACATTTGCGGGCAAGTAAGTACCCCTCCTTCTGTACTATCTACGAGTCAGTATCTGTGTGTTTTCTTTCTTAAAAGATATATGTACTCGCAGGAGAACGCAATGCGTGGTCCATTATTGAACATGAGTCCAGGTCTTGGAGCTAGCGGCGTCGATATGGAATATCGTAGAAGTTCTCAAGGTATCTTTAGGCTTTCGAGATACATTGTACAAACATATATTATTATATATGCTATACTATACTATACATGCATATATGATAGTATGCACATATAAAGTAATGTATACACACATATATGCATGTATACATTAATAATACCAGTAAATATTGCCACACATGTTGATATTTAGTACAGATCGAATTTCTATGTTTTTATCTCTTAGTTATTCTATTATTAAACTGCGAATGTTTATGTAAATTCGTATTCATATGATGCAACTAAGGAAATAAAATCTAAGGAGAAGTATGTGTGAAATTTCAACAACTAAATGTCATAAGGGGTACTATTTTGTTATGTTATGTATGTTCTGTGCATTTTTACACCTTTCAATTTCCCACAAATGCATAAACATCCGTAATCTATTTATTATAAATCTGTATTCTACGCATGATACGAAATATTAAATGAAATAAAATTTATTAGAATCTCCTAATAGATGTAACTGGTAGGTGTCTTATTACTTCTGACTGTTAGGTAGTGTGCTGTTTATAGATTTTTGATTTAGTGTACGACCATTGTATACATATACATAGCTTCTTTGACCCTATGGCTGAAAGTGAATGAGAGGTTATTTCTTGTATCTTTATTTCAGCGACAAACCAACTGCCTCTGAGTCCTGTACAAATCCAGCCATCGCCGCCATATTACAGACAGCCTAGTCAAGACGATGGTAGAAAGGTATACGTCCGTGCACTTTACCAAAATTTCTGTTCGATCGTTCCATCACAATTTTTTACTTTCAATGCAAGATCGATATCGGTATAATTTTAGAGTGAATCTCCTTCGAGGAAGCGCCGTCGAATATCCCGAAACGGCGCCGTTTCTGGAATAGAAGTTCGTGAAACTACGCCACCCTCGCCTACACCGTCATTGCACACTACTCCGCCGCCATGGGAGTTCTCAACGGCGCCCCAGAGGCGATCACCTCGAAATCACATGTCGACACGCGGCAGTCCAACTATCAGAAATCGTTATCAACGATACACAGACTCGTTCGGCTTGTCTTACCCTTTCGTGCCCGGTCATACCCCTCATCCGCCCATTCATAACTCCCACCATGGGATTCATAATTCTCATCACAACATTTCGCACCATAATATACATAATTCGCATCATAATATGCATAACGCGCATCAGACGCATCCCCATCATCCACCTGGTACGGGACACCATCCCGCGCAAGGAGCAAACGGCCCTGTGGTCATGGACGTCGGGCAAGTCGGTGTTTCCGGTTTGGGGGTTGCCGTTAGCGGGGAACCACTCTGGCATCCTCAGGCGACAGGTTACAGGATCCCATGCCAGCTGCACGGCATATACACACCGACCGGAGCACACGCGTTCGCACATTCGTGTCAGGTAAATGTTTTATAAAATCAATATCGCAACTAATTTTATAATAGTCAATAATCTTGAACAAATTCAAGAACTAATCCTCTATAAATATGACATCATATTCCTTCTGTATGATCTTATAACGTAAATTTTGTTGCGTTTAAAAAATTTTACTTTTTATGGTATTTCTAGTTAAGATACTAAATTTATATGTATATAAAATTTGAGTAATTATATATATATACATATTATATATAAATCTAAACATTTAATTTAAATTTTAATTAATTAATTAATTAATTAATTAAATAAATTCCTAAAAGAGTTTGAGATACTTAGAATATTATAATAGATAAATTTATATTTCCCCAGGTTACCCACCATCATCATAGTCACTATTCAGCGGCTCATCCGACCCACCCAGGCCTGGTCGGTACAATAGTTGGCGCTGCATCCAGAGGATACCCAACACCAACCGGAGGTCCTGTAGCGGCTCTTCATCACGCTCACGCGCCTCCTCCACCCGTCCATACTACTCATTACACTGCGCACCATCAACTTTCCCAACAGGTACGATTCACCAGTTAAGACAAATTATTATAGTATACAGGATATTTTATCATTACTAAGAGAAAACATTTATCTAACGTTCTTCATTTTTTCTTTGTTACAGCGAGAAGTTGAATTAGAGTTAATAGAGTCCCATCATCATCATAGAGTGGGAGCTACAGCCGGTGCCCCATTACCATTACCACACTCGTATTCACCGCCAGCTCTAACTCAAGTTACCACTCCTACTCCTACTCCTATATTCTTATCAGAAACGAGGAACAGTCAATTGGAAATGATTCAAACCAGAACTCGGCGCACACCGTCCAACGTTCACACGCTCAGACGACCAAGGTCGAGTAGATGGAGAGGTACGCCTCCGATAGCACCGGCTACTTATTCAGGATTCCTGTTACACTTCTTGTAAGTATCACTTTGTCGTTACTATTGATACCAATCGGTGCTGCCCAAGGAAATACATAGACATCTTCATGTCTATGAGTGAAAAAAATCCCCGTTGTACTTCGTTAATGCTAAATGACCTTTAGTTTTATATATATACATCCAAGGTATAATGCTCTTGGGTCCCATTTTTTTAGTTGCAATCGCAAAAATATGAATGTACACCTACATTCTATTGATATTAATAAAAAATATGGACTAAACAAATAGAAAAGAATTATTATAAGATTTGTAAAAAATCTACTATGAATAGTCATGATTCAATCTCATTTATGACGAGTTCGTTTAATTTACAAAATTTTGCAATTTACAGTGCAATGCTCAGCAATCCACCATTATCTCCGTACAGTCAGGCGGAACTATCCTCACCGGACTCAGCGACCGAAAATTACGAAGCACTGCTCTCTTTGGCAGAGAGACTAGGAGAGGCTAAGCCACGAGGACTGACTCGGGCTGAAGTGGAGCAGTTACCCTCGTATAAATTCAACGCGGAAACACACCAAGGAGACCAAACCAACTGCGTGGTCTGCATGTGCGACTTTGAAGCTCTGCAGTCACTGCGTGTTCTACCGTGCTCGCACGAATTCCATTCTAAATGCATCGACAAGTGGCTTAAAGTAAGTTTATTGAGAATAATACGATTCTATATAGACCATTAGCGATCCACTATATACATCGAGGCTGATACTTTTGTGGTGGATCGTCAATTCGTTCTATTACATACTAAACTAACAGTTGAAGAGCTTCCTGAAATTAATTATTATATAATCATCTATAAACTAAGAATATTATTTGAGGCTTGAGACTTGCCTAAATTAAATTTCAATTAATGACCATAATTTATTAATTTTTTAATTACAGTCAAATCGAACGTGTCCAATATGTCGCGGGGATGCCGGAGAATACTTTGGAAACAGCGGGACCGGTAGCGACTGACGCCAAGCCGCTCAAGTACACTAGCGCCAACTGTCACGGATCTCAGGGACGCTACTCAGCACAGAGCTTCCAGCGATCACGTTGCTGGTTTGTGCAAATTTCTGTTGACAAGCATTTCTCGCCTTTTCTCTGACCGAGTCGTTAGTATGTCACGGTTCATCACCTCGATTTTGCGAAGAGGAGAGGATTGGGAATGAATGAAACACGGAAAACAAAAAAAAAATATAAGGGGGATAAAAAAAACATAGTAAAATTCAGGGTATGTTGTCAGGGTGTTTGGTGTCGAGAAATGGACCACACACACGCAATAAAAGTACACGATTTAAAATTGCAGCATGCAACATTTTTACAATGCGAATTAACGTCTCTGCGTTTATTCCATTATTTTTTCTCGAGAATAGACAAGTCTGACAGGTTTGAGAAAGAAAGAGTGTATAATAACAAGTAATGAGCAAATCAATCAAGATTGAAAGCAATGAAGGAAATTTCGGAGATTTGTTAAAAGCTATCAAGCATTTCAGGTCAAGATTAAAGTCTGACTTAATGTATTCGTTTTGTTTCATCGATGCGCTTCGAGTTTAATCGTGTTTAATGCTCGTTTGTTGTTTTTTCCTTTTCATATTATTACTTCGTCAAATTGTGAAGTTTATTCTGTACATAATTACTTACGTAATACGCAAAACTATAATCGCTACTTTCCATTAACGTTCCAGTTTTTATTACTATCACGAGTACTACTACTACTACTATTATTATTATTATTATTATTATTATTATTATTATTATTATTATTATTATTATTATTATTATTATTATTATTATTATTATTATTATTATTATTATTATTATTATTATTATTATTATTATTATTATTATTATTATTATTATTATTATTATTATTATTATTATTATTATTATTATTATTATTATTATTATTATTATTATTATTATTATTATTATTATTATTATTATTATTATTATTATTATTATTATTATTATTATTATTATTATTATTATTATTATTATTATTATTATTATTATTATTATTATTATTATTATTATTATTATTATTATTATTATTATTATTATTATTATTATTATTATTATTATTATTATTATTATTATTATTATTATTATTATTATTATTATTATTATTATTATTATTATTATTATTATTATTATTATTATTATTATTATTATTATTATTATTATTATTATTATTATTATTATTATTATTATTATTATTATTATTATTATTATTATTATTATTATTATTATTATTATTATTATTATTATTATTATTATTATTATTATTGTAGTGATAGTTGTATTTTTAATCCTACGAATTGTACATATATACTCGCATAAACGCGCTCCTATCACAATGAAACATACACTACAGCCAATTTGATTTTGTAAGTAATTTTTTTTGTATTTTTTCTCTTTGGGCACACAACCAAATGTAGCGTGAACATTCTTTTCTTTTCTTTTTCTCGCGGCAAACAAGTTAAGATATATCATTATGTGGAGTAAACCGATTAGAGGAAAGAAAAGATTCGATCTTTCTAACCTATATATATATATATATGCTTTACGTGTCTTTTTACGTAGATCGGATAATCACTCTTTTGTCACGTCGAACTCGTAAGTGTTTTTCTATAGCGACTAGGGATTGTAGATAAAAAAAGAAAAATTATTAAATTATTTTGTCAGATGACGTAAATATTTTGTAAATAATCTGGCGAAACATTCGATGTTCGTTTTGAGGAACACAAAAGGTAGCAGATCCGTTTTCCATTGTATTCACTTCGTCGCGGATCGTTTTCTTTCGCCCGAAAGATAAGTTTCCCTAATACTATTACTGATTCACAGGCTATCGTAGAACGTAGAATTAACGGGGGGAGGGGGAAGGAAAGGTAAATGGATCAAATATTGTTCGAAACGTGACGAAGATTAAAGAAAAGGCTCTTCAGCAATAGTTTTCATGCAAAAAAAAAGGAAAGAAAGCTGCGTAAAGAAGATACAAAACTGAACAAAAAAAAAAGATAAGAACACTGCTTCTGTTTCCTGTGTATCTACCTCTAAATAGAAGAAATGAAACGATTCATATTTTTTTATACACACATCTCATAAACAATAAACGTACGTACGCTAAGAAAACCAAAAAAAGAGAGAGAGAAAGAGAGAGAGAGAGGAAGGGAGACAGAGAAAGAAAAACCGCTGGATAGAAGAAAAAGAGAAAAAACGAGTTAACCGCGATTTTTCGAATTTCCACGAATATTAACCGTAATTAACTAAATTAAAGATTAAGATTTACCTGGTATATAAAAAGAAATAAGATAACTTGTATTTAGAAGTCTCTAACAGAGAAAAAAAACAGAGTTTATGAATTAGAATACTATTGGATTAGACACGTATTTAAAAATAAATGAAAGATTGATTCGTTTTTGAAAAAAACGTACGTTCCCAAGGTTTTTCGTAAAGGGCTTTCATATTAATCTCAACTGAGCGATACCACGTGGAAAGAGAGCGCTTTTGTTATCGGAAAATTTGAAATAATCTTTCTTGTTATTCATGAGGCTCTTCATACTTGTACAAGTATGATCAATTAGCAAATTTCTGTTGCGCTTTATAGTTAAATGAAATTGTTATGTAAAAAGTTTCTTACGCAATTGCTATAATAATCTATAATAAAATTTACTTGTAATCGATTTGTTTTAGATTAGTAAAAATTTTCCGAAGTTAATTCTTTTTTTTCTTCTTGTATTCTTTAAGAGTTCGTTCTTTTTCTAAAGATATACATAGTAAGTAGTTGGTAAATAATTATATTAATTGAAAATTCTATTTGTTCTCAGTTTTTTGCGTTAGTTAGTTTTTAATGTAATCGATCGATGAGATGAAAATCACGTGGTGTGTCGTACAGTGAAAGGTAACGGTCGGACATCATCAAACGTAATCGAAAGGCGGAAAAACGCATGACACCGCGATCATGTTCGTACCTCTTTGACCTTATCCTTCCATTTTTTATCGCGTGCCTTTACTTTACTGACCGTGTATCGGGAAAAAGACTATGGGAGTTCTCATGCGAAAAGTCGACGAAGGGAAGAGATATGGGTTATTATCATAAAGGAAAGCCGAATCGACGCGAATCATGTTCGTTATTTCAGAGAAACAAATGTAAAAGAAAAGAGTGGAACGACATAAAGCACAAAAACAAAACCATGTGGTGACAAACGTGTCTGATGAATCGAAATGCTTCGTCGTTGTGCATCTGCGTATAGTTTATTATAAAATAGAACATCAATAGCGCTTCGATATTAAAAAAATCGTTTGAATATCGTTTTTGTTAAATTTTGAAATATTCCAATTAGAATTCGATACTGGAAAGGAGTTTCTCGATTTATTTTAATATTCTATAATTTTGATTTTTAAACTTTATACAAGTTTGTTCGAATAATATTGATACGTTAGATTACCGATATTATCTAAATCCGCTGATCTGTAATTCGTTCTCAGATGAACACGATAAACAGTTCGATTTATCCATAAACGAAACTCGTCCGTGCAAACGCATATACGTAAAACATGTACTTTTTAGTAGCTTTGTACAGGTCTAAGGCTGCGTTCGCGAAAAGTTACCAGATGCAAGTGGCGTGCGTCGGAAACAAGCAACAGCTCGTTTAAAATTAGTAGGCCTGCTCGAGGTTGCCGACATCTCGCTCCTCCGCTATTCGTTTCGTTATTCCACCACTCAGCTTCTATCTTCTTGTCAATTTTCTCGGACAGAGAATTGAAATCGGTAATCGTATAATCTCCGTCGCTTAAAAAGCAAAAATAATACCTATATAACAATCGAAATATGTATGTAAAATTATATACATACTCGTATATAAATATAGAGGGGAAAGCGGCTTTGTGCGACAGCGGATGTCGAACGAAGCGACGCAAATCAAAAGTCGATTTCCTTACCGATTACAACCACCTCTTGTTCAAACTGCGTTTCGTTTCTATCAATCGCGCGCTTTGTTCCCATCCGCGTCATTTGCATCTATGTGGCGCGTCGCGTAAACCCAGCTCATTATCGAACACAATATCAAAAACTCGTGTGCGTGTGTGTGTTCGTGTTGCTGTGTGTATATTCAAAATGGAAAGAGAAGGAAAAAGAAAGAAGAGTAAGGAAGGTAAAGACAAATGAAAGAGCGTTGGTTTTTCCTAGATGCGTTATAAGAGAACACATATCACTTTTCTCCATCGTATATCCACGCGTCTCGCACGCTCGCCCTCTTTGTCGCATTTTACACCCGGGAAGGAGAGGAAATAGGAAGAAAGGCTCACATTTTTTTACTAGTTTAAGACCATGAGAGTGAAAACGAGATGAAGAGAGAGAGAGAGAGAGAAAGAGAGAGTGAGTGTGAGGTTGTCAAAAGGGACGAGCGTTCGATTGGAAGGAGCTAATGCCGAAGAAATCATCCCTATCAAGGGATTAAGAGTATTTTCCATTCTATCCTATATTACTTCCAAATTTTGAACTATTACTTGGTTCGATTTTTCGTAATGTTATAATCCGAAAAAGAATTACGAACTTTAGCATCCATCGTTCGAAGTCTGTTTATCTTACTTATTAAATATTATATTATAAATACGGCGTTAAACATTAAATCTGTACAATCCGTGTATGTGTATAAAATTTCAACTGGGAAAAGATATAACCAAACGTTGTAGGAATAACATGGAATAGTATCAGAATTAAACCATACTTGTTGTAATCGTTGTTTCTGTAGAGATGAGTTTCTCTTCTTTTCTTTCGGCTTTTAAATCGCCGATAATGTCGACTTTCGGCTGTAGTAACCTTGGCCCGTCCAACGCTCCGTCCCTTGATACGCTTAGACTAAGGTAGCATAACGAAATCCATAATGCGTACCTTAAACACACCCTGAATCCTAGTGTACCAGTCGCAGCAGAAAAACCTATGATCGGTTCCTGGAACGTCCTGTATCGTCTTAACGCCAATAGTTAAATTCAATTCGAAGAAAATGCTCTACGAAGCTTTCTTTTCTCGTTAATTACCGAGAGGCGATTTTTTAATAATACAGAGCATGAAAAGAGAAAGAGATGATAAGAATTTTATTTGAATGCATGTTCGAAGAACCGGTCACGAAACAGTACCAAAAGTAATTGTTCCGACGTATGAGTTCGCCCAAGTTGCTTTTAGATATAAACG